CCCCCCCCCCCCCCCCCCCCCCGCCCCCCCCGGGGGCGCGCCCCCACGAGTTGAAAATTTTTCGAATTTTTTTAAAAAATGTCGAAAATATTCTCCGATTTCTGAGGTACTTGTATCTTGCTTTTATATCTTCGCACTGTCCTTGGTCAAGGGCTACTTTTCAATATAAAACTTTTATCTCTGAGATACTTAGTAATCCGATCGTTGGACGGCTACAGTGAGTCTCATCGAAAAAGTCCGAAGTGAAATTGTTTTCTCGATAACTCGAGCGGGGGTGTTTCGACAGCGAAGGAATGGAGAGGGAAAATGGAGTGGAGGAGTATTATTCTCCCCCCTCCCCTATACTCGAAAATTTTGGTTTTCTTCAATATAAATAGCTGATATTTTTCTGTGTGTATATATAATTTTTAATTAACTAATAAAGTGGTTAGATATTCAAGAACCAGAATGGTTGATAATGCTCTGTACAATGATAGAGAAGAAGGAAGAAAACGCAATGGGAGAACATCAACACTGTAACACAAAGTGATGTGCCTTTGGATTACCCTAACATAATCAACTATGGAACATCCTGAACTGTTACTCATTTTCTTTTTCATTCATAAAGCGTGTTCAAAATCGTCACGCCTATGGAAACATGTTATGCCGCTGGGTCTCAAAACCAACATGCGGGTTCATTTGCAAGGTGATGCGTCTGCTGACCGTTTCGCTCAACAACTGCTCAGTCTTGGAGATGGAAAAGCGCCAGCTAATCAATCACTGGATACATCAGTATTCCGGATACTTTTTGCAATGTCGTCGAATCGATTGAAGTACTGAAGAGCAGTGTATTTCCGAACATCCGGAGCCATTTCAACGATCACAAATGGCTATGTGAACGTGCTATTCTTGCCCCTGTAAATAACAGCGTGAATGCCATCAACCTACCCCTTTTTATTAACAAAAGAAAAGTTTTTCTTTTTCTTTACAACAAAAAAGAGTAAAGATATAATGCATATCTTTTCTTTTCTAAGGAAAAGGAGACCTTTTGAAGCAAGTGGTACCTTTTCTTTTTCAAAAGAAATACAAGCGATATCTTTTATTTTCCAGAAAAAGACTTTTTTTGCAAAAAAGAAAAGACGTCGCTTTATTTTTTCTGAGGAAAGAACAGATATGGATTATATCTTTACTTTTTGCTTTTCAAATAAATGATACCACTTTATTGTTACTCGAGAAAGGAACGGGAAAGTGCCATATCAAAATTTGATGTTTTTTTTCTAGAGAAAAGGCCTTCAGGATTTTTACATATTCGGAATCAGCACGACGAGTTACGTTGTACGGCGCAAAGATCTCGTCGGGGTACCCGCGTTTTTTGGACTCGGATTCTCCACTGTGGGTTTTCACGGTATATTACACTATATTCAACGGTAGACATCAAAGATTCCGCTTTTCTACTGTTCTCTTTTATGTCATTTTTCTTTCCT